ACGCTGACAGACCACAATACCAGATACAACATTACAGTAGGCTATATCAGCGGTTCCCAATTCCAGTCCTCTGCACATTTCATATGTATCTCTTATCACGTGTGACGTTTGTTCTGTTCGACCATGAGTGCCCTGCGAAGTGGACATCACCGGATATTCCGCCATGATTCCAGTTCGAAGTGAGCATATATGTTCCATACAAAGTGAATTTAAATAGTATTTATTTACAGAGGTATATTATGTCACACTTCTCTAGTAAGTTTCGTCTGTGTGTGAAGACGCTGTGCAGCGCAAATCCGTGAATGAATGTTCAGAAGTGAAGTAAACTTTCCCCTGCGTGAGGACTGGAATTGGGAACCTCTGGGCTACATCTTGTGTCATTCACCAGTGAGAAAACTTTATAGTACAGTTAGTAAAAGTACTACAATACCATGAAGGAAGATCGGGTTGTTGATGTTTGTCTGCCATCCTCGCTCTGTCTGCACAGCGTGCCTGAACGCACTGACGACGTATCCTGTCTGCGCGAACCCGATGCACAGAGGTATGCTAATATATACGTTGACAGGCAGGTAGGAAAGCCAATTAAAACGCTCGGACCGAGCGTTTTGATTGGACGAACATTTCTTGGTCCTACGCCTTCCACAGAATATATAAATACAGACAAATACATTTAGACCACTTAACTTATTGATTGCTATGGGGATGTGAAGATACTTTCAACCAGCATAACAAAAATATTTTCTGAAGACAATCACCTATTGCACCTTTAATATTTTAAGTGTTATTTAAAAATATAAATGTAATATAAAAATATATAGGTTTATTTTTTATTATAGATATATTTGTGTATATATTATTTTAAAATATTTTTTATATTTTAAGTACATATATTTACAGGTGCATCTCAGTAAATTAGAATGTCGTGGAAAAGTTCATTTATTTCAGTAATTCAACTCAAATTGTGAAACTCGTGTATTAAATAAATTCAATGCACACAGACTGAAGTAGTTTAAGTCTTTGGTTCTTTTAATTGTGATGATTTTGACTCACATTTAACAAAAACCCACCATGTAGCAAAATGTATTTGTCTGTATTTATATATTCTGTGGAAGGCGTAGGATCAAGAAATGTTCGTCCAATAAAAACGGTCGTATCAGGCTAAAGTTAACATTTTCCAAGATCTCCTACTGCACCTTTAAAAAAATGGTTAAATAAGAGAGCTACAGCGGAATGTCGATTGGGTGTGTGAGCTGATGTTAAGATAAAAAGTTGTTCCTGTTCAGTCTGTTAATGAAAATCATATTCTTGATATTAAGCTGTTTCCGTGAGTCCTTAAAATGAACTCTTCCTCATCCCAGTAAGATGATGCGGCCGCTCGGACGCAACAATATTCAAATCAATTCCGGTGGCCTGGCAACTTCTCCTGGTGCTCTAAATCCGGGCCATTTGCCTTTATTCAACTTTATTCTCGAAACATTTCGACTTTATTCGAAATAAAGTCGAAATTACGAGAATAAAGTCAAAATAACGAGAATAAAGTCGAAATATTTCGACTTTATTTTCGTAATATCGACTTTATTCTCGTAAAGTCAAAATATTTCGACTTTATTCTCGAAATATTATGACTTTAATATCGTAATATTAGATTTTTTATTTTTTTAACGTGGCACTAAAACGCCGTTGTAAATGATATATAAAAGAAATAATAAAAAAAAAAATAAAAAAAAAAATTTCCTCCGTTTTTCAATTAATGGTACAAAATATTTGATACTCGTTGGCATGTTATTATGAATGTTTCAATATTTATATTTAACATTTTAAGTGTAATATTTCTGTATAATATATACAATTAATATATCAATATAAAAATAATCGTATGTGTGTATGTATTATTTTTTTAACATTCGTTATGTTTTTAGTATATGTATTTATATATGATATATAAAAAATAAATAACCTTAATAAAAAAAATACCGTATAATATATTTAGGATTTTTTTCATGTTTATTAATTAATGGTACAAAATTTTAAAAGTAGATCATGCAGTATTAGAAGCAAATGTCCCCTTTATGAATTCTCTCTGGTTGTTTTTCTCAGGCTATGGAGTGTGGTGGAGGTGCAGCAGTGAAGGAGCAGCATCTTCCTCCTTGGGCCGCGAGTCATGAGGAAGAGGATGATGGCTGGACGGTTGTGCGCAGGAAGAAGTGACTGGACTTACAGTATTAGGACTGATTAATTTTTTCATTTAATACATTTTAAGGGCTTCTGCGTCTCTGAATACTTCTGTATTCACAACCGTGACAAACACATGAAACCCACAGAATGGTGCATCTGACTAATGTTAAAACAGATGGATTTCCTCACTGGACTTCTTCCATGGGTTTCCTTTATAAATGCGTAGTTTGGGTACACAGTCTAATTAAATCAATTTGTGTATGCTTTGTAACTGGTCTGGTTTGGACATTTTCATGGTCTAGTTGTGGCCTAGCCACACACTGATCTTTGACTTCCTGTAACTTATTACTTGTAGGTTAATGCCTGCAATGGTCCTTTATCGCCCTCTAGTGTCACTATAGTGTCACAGCAACAGTAAAATACAGTGCTGGATTTTACAATGTAATATTTGAGTTTTTTCAAACATGGCGTACAGGTTTTGCTAAACCTGTAGTCGATGGAAGAAAAAAAAATCATGCAATAAATTATTATAATTATTGTTTGGAACAATAAACAGTGCCAGAGCTTTCATAGTTCTCATTATTATTGACAATGTTAAAATATGCTCCATTGTTACAGTACATTATCGTAACCACATGAAGATTATTAAAAAAAAAATACTCCATTATGACATCTGTGTTTGTAAGTGAGCCTTTATTCTTCAGTACACAGGGTTTAAGAGCTCAAGTCTTTATTGAATTCAGTCAAGTATTCATACAGTGTTCTGTATGTGCACAAACAAGCACTCCTCACACATATTCGCAGAGAAATATAAAAAGGTGAGGGCTTTTTTTTTTTTTTTTACTTTTTTGTTTTTGCAGATGGCATGTCAAGGCACTATTTTAACATATAAATATGTCACCCTTCTACACAATTAAATGACCGTACAATGAAAACTCTGACTACAGACATTGTCTCCATCATGTTCAGAGATCAAAGCTTCTTTAAATAAATATATAAAAAACAACATAGGTTTGAGGTTCTAGCTAGGTCTGTGCTCAGATACTGTATCTCCAGTAGGTTTTACCTTAGCAGTGAGTTTATGCTCTGAAAGGTGGATGTGTGTGTGCACCAAATGATCAGACGGACCTAAATGACGCAGACCGCACAAAGGCAGTGAACACAAGGAAAACGGCGCGTTAGGAGTTGATCCAGGGGTGCTGTAGACACTCGGCGGCTGTGGCACGGTTCTCCGGGATGGACTCAAGCATGGTGAGCAGGAAGTCACTGAACTGGGCTGCTTGATCCAGCGGCCACTCGTACTTCTCTAGTAGCACCTCGAACAGCCCCCACGGCTTCAGGCTGGAGATGTGCCTCAATTCACCTACATACAAATACAAACACACACACACACACACACACTCGGGTCAAAACATTCTCATGCAAACTCAAGGACGAAACAGCATGCAAATGTCAAGGTGGCCTGTTTTCTATGAAAGTAGTCCAGCACTGTCTGAAGGAAAGTTGTGAATCCAGGTAAAGAAATATAAATAAATAAAATACATTTGTAGCAATAGCCAACAATACATTGTATGGGTCAAAATTATTGACTTTTCTATTAAGCCAAAAATCATTAGGATATTAAGTAAAGATCATGTTCCATGAAGCTATTTTGTAAATTTCCTACTTTAAATATATTAAAACTTAATTTTTGATTAGTAATATGCATTGCTAAGAACTTCATTTGGACAACTTTAAAGGCGATTTTCTCAATATTTTGATTTTTTTTTTCTCCCTCAGATTCCAGATTTTCAAATGGTTGTATCTCTACCAAATATTGTTCTATCCTAACAAACCATACATCAATTATTTCTTTATCAATTATTATAATTACTTATTTATTCAGCTTTCAGATGATGTATAAATCTCAGTTTATAAATAAATCTCAGTCAAATTGACCCTTATATGACTGGTTTTGTGGTCCAGGGTCACATATATATTAAGCATCTGCTGCTGTAATTTTTAACAAGTTTAGAAAATTATATATATATATATACACACACATATTTAGATGCCTAAACACTTAGGACTATCTGTAGATTTATGGGGTGGGATTTGTCGTTCTATAGCAGTGGACAAATGGAATTTATTCATTCAATTATGCATTCAACACAATAAGAGCAGTCATGCTCTGTTGCTGGAGTTAGGAAACATGAGAGGCTCTTTCTCAGTGGCTTAGAAATCAAGCGGAGTGAACTCTGAACGGGTTGATCTTCAGCAAGGCTGTTCTGAGCTAATAATATCCTGACTATTCATCACACGTCTGTGGAAAACCTTTTGAGAAGAAGCACTAAACGAATGAACCTGCATGTCACAATGTTCTGGGGTTTGTCTATGACCTGATGATGACTGAATCTCATCTTAATGGACCATAAACTCAAGCTCTTCATGCAAACCCTTTTTTTCTTCGTTTTTTTAAGGGAAAGTGACTCGAGAATGTCAGGGTGAATCTGATGAAGAACATGCCTCTGTAAACATCCAGAGTTGCATTTTTTGAAGGAAATCTTTAAGAATAGTGTTTGCTGAGCTCTTACCTCTTCGGCTGAAGTATTCTCTGGAGTATCTGCCTGACAGGGCGAAGTGTGGAGGAATGGGACCCAGCAGCTCAATGATGTGAGCTATGTGATCTGGAAAACAATACAAAAGAATCACACAAACATATTCTTAGACTATGGAAACTATGGACATTTAAAAAAAAAAAAGTTTTTGAATTTTTTTTTACACTCACCAAGGCTGCATTTATGTGATCAAAAATACAGTAAAAACAAAAATATTGTGAAATACTAGGGTTTCATTTCGGTTATTTTTCCTAACCGACAAATGATGCTCGTTAACCGATTGTTAACCGTTAACCAACAAGATTATTCTAAATTAGAACTGAATTAAATTAGAAAGGATAAGTGTCTGTGACGCGTTAAAAATACTAACATTTGTTTCCCGGGGAATCATTTTACATGCGCAAAATGCAGCAAACAACAGAACATGAGGATTCACATGCATCACATCTTTTGACAGCACTAAAAATAACTGATTTCTATTTGAATATTTTAAATGTAATTTATTCCTGTGATGCAAAGCTGAATTTTCAGCATCATTACTCTCATCTTCTGTGTCACATGATCCTTCAGATATCATTCTGATTTGCTGCTCAAGAAACATTTCTTATCATTATCAATGTTGAAAACAGTTGTGCTGCTTCATATTTTGTAGAAACTGTTAAATTTTTTTCAGGAGTCGTCAATAACTAGAAAGTTCAAAATGACTATTTATTTGAAATGGAAATCTTTTGTAACATTATAAATGTTTTTACTGTTACTTTTGATCAATTTAATGCATCCTTGCTGAATAAAATATTAATTTCTTAAAAAAAGTAAACAATACTGATCCCAAACTTCTTGATTCATGAACCAAGCCTACAGTTCTGAGACTGATGCAAAGCAAAAAAAAAAAAAAAAAGTATTTGAAAAGAGAAAAAAGTCTGTGTACTTTCATTATTTTAAGAGGCTCATCCCATTAAAAACAGTCTTTAAAATTGACCTATAGTCACTGAATATAAGTAACCTGGGAGGAAGACCAAGAGAACTGACCTTCATCTCGAGTGTAGTCCTCTCCTGAGTGAGGCTCAAACAGATAGTCTCCAGTCGCCAACTCAAACGCCTGCGAAGACACATCATATTACTGCTCTCTCACATGACGCACAAGCAGGAAGCTCAAATGTACATATGAACATCCTGACCATTTTTTCAGTGTGTTTATGGAAAAGTATATGTTAGATCAACACTGAATGAGTTCGTACCATACACGCAGTGCTCCATATGTCAGCGGGGGGTCCGTACTCGGCTCCGATCAGCACCTCCAGAGCTCGGTACTGGCGAGTCTGGATGTCCTCGGTAAAGTGCTTGTGCTGATGTGGAGGAGAGGACATCAGTAAACATCACACATCACCAGCTCTTTGTGTTCAAACACCTGATGTGATCCATAATTCACTTTCTGAATGCCTGGAATCGACCCACTGTACTCACCACCCAGCATGCATTGCCTAGGTCTGCAATCTTGATGCGTATTTTATCTGCGTTCTGAGGTTCTAGAGGATTCACTAAGAAATCAGCAGCAGAGCACGCTGTAGGGGAAAAAACAGACCATTTGAACATTGATGTGAAATTTTCAGCAACATAATTACAGCCAATCAGAAGATATTTGACATTTAATTTAAGATAAAAAGCCTATAGAGAGCAGCAGTTGGATTCCAGAGGTAAGAATCCCATTTATTTTCTTCACAGGGGAACTGATTTTGAGTGATAACTTAAAAACAGACCTACTGTGAACTATGAGGTTGTTAATAAATGGTATATGCTTTGGTTAAAGCCATCAGTCACATTATTTCAATTTTATAAAAATTAAATATATACTATCCATAATTCAGCAAGAACATCTCTACTAATTATAGAGACTCTGATGATGTGTCTCCAGTTACTAACATCATAAATCTTGTAAAGTTTTAATATTTCCATTTTTAAAAAAACTTTAATGCACATTTTTTAACACTACGTTATATTACATTAAATTACAGAAGATTAGTCACAGCTGCAGTGTGTTTCTAATATAACAGCTGATGGATTGACAGCTAATTTAACATCTTTCTCTCTTCTGATCACCATAATCAATCTCTCAGTATTTTTCCCCTCATAGAAACCCTTTTTCTTATGCTACTGTGGCAAATGGGAATGGAAAAATGATGTGTTGTAGTTTCCGTTCACCACTATAGAAGTTTACCGAACTAAGATGAATTCTCAGAACCTCGTAAATGTAAAAAGGGACCTTTATATCATTTAACTCTTTCCCCGCCATTGACGAGTTATCTCGCTTTTTAGAAGAAAACGCTTCCCCGCCAAAGACGAGTTTTTACGGCTTTTCGTGTTTTCACTGTTATACACATCTTCTGAACGAGTACAAAACCTCCCGAACAAAAACACACGTGAACAGGATGGAGAAACTAGCGATCTCTTATGTAAACAGATGCATATGAAAAAGAATGCGATCATCAGCAATGGCAGCATATACATGAAAACTGCATAATGTTACGGAGTAAAATGTTGATCCAGGAAGTGGTATATGTCTGTGCAAGTTTTGGAGGTATTGATGGAAGCGATTTACTGGATTTATGCTTTGATAATCGTACTGCATATTATCCAGATGTAGTTTTTGATAAAAATTTGATTTTCTCACCTTTTCGCTCAAAATAATGCATTTTTTATAAAACCTACCTATATTCAAGTATTGATAAAAAAAGAATGCTTTAAGCTAGAATAAAACGGATTTTTTTGTTTAAAAGTAGAGGCTCTGATCTTTATTTTGGTGTATTGCATATTCAAATATTCATACAGCAAAATATACTGGAGGCCATCAAATTTGAGTGAAAATCA